CGGCCGAAGAAAGTGCGTGGCGTCCTCCGCCGGCTCAGCAAAGAACAACGGGAACACATCAGAATAGTGGGCGCTGAGACGTACCGACAACGTCACTTGGATTCACAACCAGAATCCCACATAGAAATCCGACAAGACACGACCGAGCTGCTGAGGGACGATACCCCAGCAGACGAACGTCCAGACGCTCGAGACTCGAGCCCGGCCGCGTCACGAGCACCTTCGTGCATCATGGTGGCCACCGCCCCCAGGGCGGGTTATGAAATGGAGGAGCCCGAGCATCCTAGACCAGGCTCGCCACGAAAGCGTCGAATTGTACTCATTACTCGTCCTCATGACCAGGAATAGATATTCGCAGACACGAAAGAACGACAGGAAGCCGCTCAAGGTCTTCCAGGCCAATGTCGGCAAGATCCCTCCGGCTCACGACTGCGCTCTGGCACTGGCTGACTCGGAACGATATGACATCGTGCTCCTGCAGGAGCCGTGGACAGCCCATACGAAAACGCGCTGCCTGACGAAGACCCATCCTGCTTACGACACGTTCACGCCAGTAGAGTCCTGGGACAGTAACGATACTCGACCTAGAGTGATGACATATGTCCGACGAGACCCAAGGCTTCTCGCTGACCAGATACGACCGTTCCAGACTCGCGATATTCTCTGGATCACAATCAATGGCGTGACTGTAGTCAACTTCTACCGCCAGAACGACGAAAGGGATGCCCTTGACACGCTGCTTCGATGGCCTGTCCCGGAACGCTGCCTCGTCGCTGGCGATTTCAATGCTAGACATCGAAGCTGGCAGACAGGGCAGACTACGGACCGCGGCCAAGAGATTGCCGGTTGGGCATCAGAGAATGACATCGACCTGCTTAACACGTTAGATATCCCAACAAACCCACACGGCAACACAATCGATCTCGCTTTTGCCAACATCCCACTTGCTGAAGCCACTGTTGAGGACCATCTCGCCACTAGCTCCGACCACTTCACCCTCAGCTTGACTCTCCCCAACATAAAGCCCGCTCCACTACAGCCGGGCAAGATTCGAGTGACGACAGAAGATGAGCTTAAACGATTCGTCGAGATCGTAGAGCTTGGAGCCACAGAGATCCCCCTCAGAGATTCAACGCCCGCGGAGCTGGACAATCTTGCGTCTTCACTTGTAAATCTGCTAACATCAGCAGCGAAGGCAGTGGGTCGGCCCTCACGGAAAGGTGGCTGCCCAGCTCCATGGTGGACAGAAGAGTGCGCCTGTGCCGCGGCTGCATTCCGGGCCATCAGAAGGAGGCACCCCCTCAGCTTCAATCAGGATGTTCAGATCGCCAAGAGAGACTTTCATCGCGTGGTCCGCCGAGCAAAACGAAAGTACTGGCGGGAACTCATCGATAGCTTCTCCAGCAGCAGTGCTGTCTTCAAGACCGTCCGGTGGCTGAAATCTCCGGGGCCCTTCCAGCCGCCTCCCCTGCAGGTCGACGACGCTGTATACGAAACTCAGATGGACAAGGCGAGCGCACTTCGGGGAGCGTTACTGGAACGCCGAACTTCTGATGACGATATTGGAGACCCCTGGACACCAGTCTCTCCTCCTCGATCGATCACATTCTCACCCGAAGTCTCCCTAGACGAGGCACAGCATGCGACTATCCATACAGGCAATACTTCCCCTGGGGCGGATAGCATCACCGTCAATCTTCTCAAAGCCGTGTGGCACATCGTCGGGACGCATATCCGTCGTTTGTTCGAAAGGTGCCTCTCCTTGGGTCATCACCCGGAACCATTCAAGCAGGCGGAGGTGGTCATGATCGCGAAGCCGGGACGACGAGACCTCACAAAGCCAGGGGCATGGCGACCCATCTCCTTGCTCTCCTGTCTCGGAAAGGGGCTGGAAAGATTGATCGCTCGCCGCTTGGCGTGGGCAGCTGTTCACTATGGCGTCCTTCATCCACAACAGGCGGGCGCTCTCCCCAAAAGGTCGGCAACAGACCTGGTGACCGCCTTGATCCACGATATCGAAGAAGCATTTGCACGCAAGAAGGTGGCCACCCTGGTCACGATGGATATCCAAGGTGCCTTCGACACCGTCATGCGCAAGAGACTAGTCTTGCGTCTCCGTGAACAGGGCTGGCCCGACCATCTCGTCAGATGGGCTGAGTCCTTCATGAAGGATCGTTCAGCCCGCGTGAGGTATCAAGACACCCTCACGCCCTTCGCTCCTCTCCAGTGTGGACTGCCTCAAGGCTCACCAGTATCGCCCATCCTCTTCCTGCTCTACACTGAGCCAATCCACCGACTAGGCAACCCTCAGGGCCGCTTCGGCTACGCAGACGACACGGCTATCCTTTCTATAGGCGACACAATAGATGAAACCACTGCAACGGCCTCCAGCTCCATCGGCGAGATGGTTCGATGGGGTGCAGCAAATGGCGTTTCGTTTGACCCGAAAAAGACCGAAGTCATGCACTTCTCTCGCAGCAAACTCAGGACCACGCCGGCTATACGCCACGGCGATGTCGAGAAGCACCCCGAGCCAGCCATACGCTGGCTCGGCATCTGGCTTGACAGCAGGCTATCGTTCCGCGTTCACGTCGAAAAGTGGGCGGCCAAGGCGCATGCCGTCGCCTATCATCTACGGGGTCTCGCCAACACGATACACGGCCCTCTCCCAAGCGCCGTGCGAAGTGCCGTCATGGCTTGTGTCGAGCCGGTACTATTGCATGGATCTGAAGCCTGGTACCCGGGCACCACCAGACCGCGATGGAGTCAGCCTAATAGAGACACGCCATCGAGCAATCAACATCTCATACAAAGAATGAACAAGGCCTTACACCAGTCCATGAGAGCCATACTGCCCATCTGGAAAACGACGCCCATCACCATCCTCCACCACGAGAGCGGCATACCGCCAGTTGATCAACTCTTGGAAAAACGGCGATGGAGATTCTCCGCGCGGCTCAAATCACTTGACGACGCTCATCCTCTTGTGCGGAGAACGTTGCCAACCCGTCAACCTACCTACCACGATCTCATAAAGCGAAGGTATCAACAGGCAGAAAATAGCTTTAGAACACGACTCCGACGCACAGATGAGCTTCTTGTCTCGTGCAGGCGTCCTAAGCTCCTCCAGAAACGCTTCCAACAAGAAGAGATGCCACCACTGCAGACAGCATCAAAGGAGAAGACAGCCAAGGCCTTTCTCCGCTGGGTCAA